CAGGTAAGGTAGAAAAGTGCTATACAATGCAATCCATTTACCATGTACATCATATGTAATATAGGTGTTCAATCCAGGCAAAAAATATCATCCCAATAGTTTCTGGCTCTGTGTCAGGTTGTTGTGTTTTTATACTAAGTGTTCCAAAACTATGTATATTTCTGAATAATCTGCAATATAATCTACTTTCCAAATTATTTACATTTGACTAGTTTTCCATTTACCAGAGTCTTTTCAAACTCATTGGCCCTACTGACAGGATTAGGTCTTTTGAATGATCATTTATTCAGACAATGGTAAAATCTTCTGTTCTCTTGTTTTGTGATTTTTGCAGCACTTCGATTGCAGCACCCAGGCACGAAGATTTGCTATCTTTTTTTTAGCTTCTAGAGAAAAGGTACAGCTTTAGTCGGCCTAAAACGTGTTGTTTAGAGACATGAAACCATGTACACACTAAGTGTAAATACTTTTCTCACAGGTCTCAGGGAGTCCCTGCTGCTTTGATGCTCACTGAATGATTCTGAGACCTGTTGTTTCAGAGCCTTGTGTGGAGGTTTGCTTTTGTTAGACCACCCTACTGCTTTGTAACTGTTATCTGAACTTTCTGGACATGCAGTCAATGTTATGAGGGTAAGTGAAAGTAGGTTTGCATTGAGAGAAAAGGTGAGGACATTTGGGGCTTTTGGAATGAAGTGTTGAGTACATGGTGGGGGATCTGTGGCTTAGAATGAATGAGGACAAGTGAAACAATGAAAATGTATACGTCTTGTCCAAAATGAAAATAATTTGAATTTGACTTGATGTTCAATTTTAGGCTCTTCATTTTGATGTGTTTTGTAAATGTACAGTGTCCATTCAAATGTCACTTATACCAAAAGGGCTATAACATGAGATGCTGTTGTAAATGTGTTGCACTGTGAAAATAAATTAAAACCCTTTTGCAAACCTGTTTGTAATAAATAGTTGACTGCCTTGTTAGAGCACTTGTCCTGATTATTTTTGTGACATGCCATGTTCCATATTCTGATACAATTTTATATTTATCTCGTGTTTGACTGCAGATATAAGTACAGCTTTGGACAGTATTTTATTATAAGAATACTTCAACACTTTTGAGTATGAAGCTGAAGTCAGGACATGATTAGCCTAGCTTTTCGTAAAGGCTGGAACCTTTCGGCATTTTTAAAGCTTTCTAAATTAATATGATGTTTTTCATTTGTTTGACTCATACAGAGGGAGAGTTATAAAAATTAACATTCTGACTCTTGTTTGTTTAATTGGTACAAAGACATGTAAAAACAGTTATGTAAATCAGCAATATACTTTATGGTTCAGAGTGAAACTACTTCTTGAAGACAATTTGGGTGCAGTTCTGGAACCTGTGCTAAATAAGCAGTGGTAAAGACCTCTCTATTGGCTGTGGGCCCATATACTGTATTAACTAGGTTAGATACTAGAGGTAATGGATTCAGGATCATGCTGCAGAGCACTAACTGTATATGCACAGAGGCATTCAATCCTAGTGTGTCATTTACATCCAGAGCCCTATCTCTCTATCACACACATACACACACACACATACACACACACACACAAACACAAGCCTTTGACCAATTTGTGATGGTTTCTGTGTTGCAGTCATTACCTTATTAACAAACCTACTGTATATCCATTAACTTCAAGTTCAAGTTCAAGGTATAAGCAGGTATAAGCAAATTGATATTGGATTAGCATTTGTTGGATATGTGTAAAATTATGTGTGTTGACATATCAACTGTCTTTACATGCTTGAAAGAATAAATCAAATCAAATCAAAATTGTGTAAATAAATACTCACTAACCTTATCTGGGGTCAACAGAATTAAATTATAATTTTGATCATTTTCACCCAAGTGTAGTGACAGATATTATTAATAGTTTATGATTAACTAATTACAGATTAGGTAGACACATAATACCTCAAGTCTACAGGTTATTGTGATCCAAAAAAAAAAAAGTTTTTACAACGGGTTCAACGGATTTAAGTCTTAGGTCCATGACACTTCCGATAGCATTTGAATGCATCTGGCGCGGTTAAATGACGTTACATATGCGCCAATATAATATACATGCGGACTGTTTCAAAGTTAATTACCTTATCTAGTTTACTTTGTTTTTCTGGTATGTTCGCCCCTTTGTGGGAGGATATCAGGGTGGTGAAGTAATGTAAACATACGTATTTTTCTTGAAAACGAAGTAGTTTTGATTTATTCTTAAATGAAGCCGGTTATCTTTCTGGAAAGAGCACAAAACAAGCTAGTCAACAGCTAGTTGACTCTTCACAGATGGCCGATGACAGTGTGAAAAGTGAGGTTTCTGCCCAGCAGCAGAATGACAATGGAGATGATAAGAGCAGTCAGAAGACTGTGAACAGTAATGGAGAAGCTCCAACAGAACATCAAACTCTGTCTAAAAGGCAGAGAAAGAAGCTCCTGAAACAGCAGAAATGGGAGGAAGAGAGAGAGCTACGAAAGTAAGTACGCTTATTTTAACATTGTTAGCTATGCTGTCAGGGATTAGTGCAGTCAGCTGTAGAGGTGGAATAACAGTGGTCATTTGTATAACACCTCGTGCTGTTTGTGCTCATTATATACAGTAACAGTGATAATTGTCAATTCTCAGTCTTACCAAACTCCATTCAAATAGCTGTCAATTTAAAGTCGTCTTGCTTTCAGTGGCTATTTATACATACTAAAAAGTGCATACACTTGAATTCGGTCACATTATGCCAGTTATGCTCCTTTGGGATAAACAGTTCGCAAGCCAAGAAAGTCTATTATAGGCCATAGTTTGTGTTTCTTAATGGTTCATTCCAGTGCAAAAACCATCCTATATTAAGATTTTACGACTTAACTTGATCCAGGCAGTAGTGATTCAGTTAAAGGACATATCTGGTGATATTTTATATTTTTCTTAATGTAAGGACCAAATAGGATATACAACAGAAATTCTCATTTCATTGGTATTAAATTGCCACTGAAATATGTATCCAACAAATACACTATTTCATTGGCCATGCTTTTAAATATTTTACTACAATGCGGGAGTCTGCAGGTGCAGTGTCACATTATGGCTGGCATTAGCAGTATATGTCCCGTGCTTTCTGCTGCAGGCAGAGACGAAAGGAGAGGAAGCAGCAGCGAAGGATGCAGAAACTGGATCATCAGGAGGAGGAAGAAGGAGATATCCCGAGTGCCAGGAAACGCATATGCAGAGAAGTTACGCCCAGTTCACTCAGGCTGATGGTGGACTGCAGCTTTGACAACCTCATGCAGATCAAGGTAAACCGCTCAGCTCAAGGTAAACTGTGTGTATATTCAGAAATATTAGGTGCAGTACTGACTCTCCTCACTAATAATGTTGTCTCATCAGGATGTCTGTAAGCTTCACAAGCAGATCCAGAGGTGCTATGCTGAGAACAGACGAGCCTTACATCCAGTGCAGGTCAGTGGCTGCAGACTAACACATGAAGCAGTGATGACAGTTTTGTGTGATGTGTAACCACTACCCTCACTTCCCCAGTTTTACCTCACAAGCCTGGGTGGACAGCTGAAACAGAACATGGATGAAAAGGACAAAGGGTGGGTAAACTGGAAGGTAAGTCGTCAGATCTGTGCAAACAAGCCACAGTAAGGATTTACAGTAGTTTTAGTATCTGCTGTTGAGCAATTTCCCATTCACGCTGTGTAGTCATTGTTCATTGCAGAGGTTTTGCGTGTGATGTAGTTTATATAGTGGTTGCCATGTTACCATGTTATTCTCACATGTGAATAGCGATAATCTTGTGATAAGGAAAAACGTTTGTTTGATATCATTGCGCAGCATGTCTAACTATGCAGTGTTGCATAACGGTGTGTGTGCATGATGCTGTTGTGTGCAGGACATCACTATTAAAACTGAGCACTACAGCGAAGTTGTAGCCAAGGAAGATCTGGTGTACCTGACATCAGACTCTCCCAATGTACTGGAGGAGCTGGACCAAAACAAAGCTTATGTAATTGGAGGCCTAGTGGACCACAACCATCATAAGGTGTGTCTGCCTTCAGTGCCATTGGTTTTAGAAACAATGCTGAATAGATGGTGCTTCTAACTGACACATCAGTGAAAATTTCACATGCTGCTTTATGATTTGAGCTGGTATTGTTTGCAGGGTGTCACCTTTGAGAGGGCGAAGGAGCTGGGGATCAACCATGCCCAGCTTCCTCTGAGCAGCTTTGTCAAGATGAACAGTCGCAAGGTTCTGGCAGTCAACCATGGTGAGGATTAGTATCAGGCCAATATACTGTATGAGACTTCTATCAGTAGTTTAAAGCCACTGCACAAGTGGTTTAGTATGTCGTATTAATTCAGTATAAAGGTAAAATGTCAACAGCTACCCATCCATCCATAATATTTAATAGGGTTGCTGGAGCCAATCCCAGCTGACACTAGGAGGGAGGCAGGGTACACCCTGGACAATTGCTGTGAGCACCTTCTTTGCCATAGCTCGCTAGCTTTAGCTGTAAAACAGTAACACATCTGCCTGCAACTGCAAGGGCAGAATGCGCTCAATTAGGAAGTAGGTTGACCGGTGGGTAGGCTGTCCAGTGGTTTTTTTTTTTTTTGTTTGTTTTTTTTTTGCTTGGGATGAGTAAAATTATTGGTCAGGGTTTTCTCAGGCCTGCTGCTGCCACAGATTACTTTTTATGTTGTCAGTGCATTTAATGGATTCATTGCCATTGGGATGAAAAGAGAAATTCAAGATATGTAACAAAAAATGCTTCTGAAAAGAGTGGCCAACCCTACCTTTAATTTTTCTTGCTTTGTGTTACGAGGTCAGATGCTGCTGTGCCTTGTTTCCTCTGCCTATGTTTTTTTTTTTTTTGAAGTGTGTTCTTTCCCCTGCTGCAGTTTTTGAGATCATCCTGGCATACCTGGAGAAGGGCAGCTGGCAGGAGGCCTTCTTCACCATCCTGCCTCAGAGGAAGGGGGCAGTGGCTGTCAACCAGGATGGAATAACCATTCAAGAAAAAGAGGAGAAAGATTCTGACTCTGACACAGACACACCATAGCAAACGGAGAAAAGAGACAAATGGACAACTCCAAGCAAAGTTCCAACATTGGCTGCTGGAAATGAAGAGGATGGGGAAATGGAAATATTTGAATTTATTGATGCTAATGCTATGTTCAGAAGAGTGAAGTTGGTTTCTTTAAAACTTCAAACAGCTTTTTGATTTTATTTTTTTTTTACCAGTTATTTATTGAAAGTTTTATGTTGTCCACTCAAGTTTAGTTGGACTGCTGATACAAATGGAAGATTTACGTTTTACAGTAAATTATGGAAGAATATATAGTATGTATGATAATAACATAATTTTTTCTTATTTTAGTTCATTTGTTTGGAACTGAAAGCTAAAGCTGTCAAATATTGCTAAATTGACTCATTTAAAAGAAAAGATTTAAGACAATAAAGGCAAAAAAAATTTCTCTCTGACTGTGGGAGTCCTGAAGTATGGGAGAAATTTTGAGTGAGTGTAAAAATTAAACGAATTTTAATACAGTTTGTGGAGAGTTGAAGAGTTTTAGGGCTGAAAGACCCAAGGACACCAGCAGGAGACTTAATTTTGTGAGAATAATGTGCAATCCAAGTGTCTCATCCTTTTTATAAATTGACTCATGTTACTGAGTTTTCTTTTTAATTGTTGTTTTTTTGGGTTAAGCCTAGTTGTAGGGAGGCCCCAGTAATAGACCAGGGCTCCAGGCTGTTGTCCTGTTTGCCTATGCCAGGGGTGTCCGACCATTTGCCATGGAGAGCCAGCAGTCTGAGGATTTTCTTTTCAACCAGTAGGTGAATTCTTCCGCACGGTTTCTCAGTTGGTTAACTTGTGGTTGGAATGAAAACCTGCAGATTGTTGGCTCTTTATGGCATATGGTAAACCAGGCTTAGGCTGTGCCAGAGGCTAGACTGAGTGAATGCAGCCACAGAAATGGGGAACGTGTGAGGTCTTTACGTCTGATGTGAACATCAGACATGTTCAGAATTAATCAGTGATTTCTTTTGCTAGATCCCATTGTGTATAAGTTAAGGTTGTTGGAGCGATCCCAAGTACAATAAAATTCACTAGGGTTGACTCAGTTGAAACCGTCTTTAACACCTACAGTATGCCAGGTGTTAATGCTAAATATCAAAATGAAGAGATAATGCTACCAGGATGCACTGGGTGACATTAGTAGTCTAAGCTCCGATTTAATGTGATGCTCAGGGTAGTAGGTAAAGAAGTCCTGTTCCTATCTATCTGGCATTGAATTGCAGATCCATGGGAAAGTTAGCAATTGTTTCACAGCCTGGATCTATAAGTGGCGAATTTAATGAATTGCATAGTTTTTTGGTAATAATGTATATAAAACAGGCGGCACAGCAAGAAGGTTCCGGGTTTGGACCCGGGCCCTTATGTGTGGAGTTTGCATGTTCTCCCATGTGCCAGACTAGGAGTGTGTGGTTGTTTGTCTACATGTCAGCCCTGTGATAGATTGGCGACCTGTAGAATGTCTGTAGAAAACAGACAATTGTACATAAAAATTTACATAAATGCGCCAGAGAATTCGCAACAAACTGAAATCGTTTGACGGCTGTAGCGCTACAAGACTGGCGTAAATAACTGCATGACAACCACGCAACGAAAGACAAGTAAACACTTCGAGTTCTGTCATGAATGGGAGGGCCTGGTTGCCCCAGCAACTACATTCGGAAGTTGTAGTATCCATGGCAACAAGATGATGACGCTAAACCTGAGGCACATATTCAGCTAGCGTAGCTGTTTAAGAAAATAGTCCAATGTCTCGAAAGGCGTTAAAAATTGTAGTTGAATTAAGGTTCAGAGCGGTAAGAGTTGCCATTTTTCCAGTTATTCCCTAAACGGTCCTGCTGTAACTTCATTGGTTTTACGTGTAGAGAACGGCACGTGCAACGCCATTCCGTAGCTAAAACACATATATTTATGTTGCTGTTTAGCTAGCGTTAGCAAAGACAGACGATATGCTAGCACCGGACTTAAAATGTTGTATGAAGCCTTTAGGGTTAGCGTTAGTTTAAAACTCGGCATATATCTAATGTAGTGATACTGTTTAATCAGATTAGAGCTTTTTCACAGTGTACCTGTGACTAAACTATAAGATATTTTTTTCACCTAGTGCTAATGGAGTAATTTGGTCAATATCTTAGAAAGCTGTCCAAGACCTTCAACTTTGGTGAACTCTTGATTAAAAGGCTCTAGTGATACTTGAATATTTGCATTACTCACTCCACCAGTAAGTACACTGTTAGGCCACCCTACAGCATATTATAAAGAGACCTTCAATGCTCTATCCTTGTAATTAGAGTGCAGAAATCTCATATAGGTATTCTACATCTACATGATTATGAATTACAAATAGGGTGTCTATGATACAAGCTTATGTTACTATTAAAGATCAGGAGATCCACTAATGTTCAACACATAAGATTAAAGTTACTCAAAAAAAAAGGACAGATGCATTTTTCCTAAGCTTTTGGTTTAATTTTTAAAACCATCTTCAGGAGCAGGCCAGGACGCCAAAACAGCAGTAGTTAAGAAATACCAGGTGTGCAAGCTGATTGCTCAGGTACATCACTTAAGAGGTTGATGTCCCAAAGGTATACACCGCATGTAAGACACAACAACAGCTGCAAACTCACAGACCCGTCTACAACATTATCCAACCCGCTTCAATTCTTTAGAGGCTTTTAAACCACTGTTTAAAGAAGGTTTATATCTGCAATATGTTCTTCTTTACTTTGATCAGTTTTTTCAGGGTTGTTGAATATTGTCCATAAATGATTATCTTCAACTTGGGTTGACTGCAGCTTGACTCCAACCAAAATGGTAAAACTAAGTGAGGACTCCCACTGATATATAAAGGTCATAGTGGTCTGGCTCCACAGTACATGTCAGACATGTTCTCAGACTTAATACCTAGCTAGTTATCTAGCTAACCTTTGCTGCTCCACTGATCTCAGGTTTCTTGTCCTGGAGTTCATCTGCCAGCCAAGGATGACATCTACCTCAGCGTGTGCTTCATGGGCCAGTACCGTCAGTCTGAAGACCTCCCAGCCATCTTCCCTCTGCTTGTTCATGAGAAGATGACATTTGAAAAGGCATGTTTTTGCTTATCATCCATGTGGGAGAAAAACTGCTATGATGAAGCAAGGTTTGAGTAATGTTAATGAGAAAAGTAGCTGAAACATAATACACAAACTGTGTTGTCATATTTAAAGATACTGTCTCATTTAGATCTAGTTACAATTCTCCATTAAGTTAACTGAGACACGCCTGCAATAAATGACTGTATAGACTATACAGTATAGATAAATAAATGTGATGTGACTGTATTTACCAACAAAATGTCAGCTCCTGGAAATATAGTATTGATATAACATGTTAAATTATAAAGGTAAAACCAATAGCACAGTTGACATTTGCTTCTTTCTAGATTTTCAGGCATGCAGTTGATCCCGGAGACATCACTGTGATGCTTGAGTGTAAGTTATATTTAAATGCACGCAATCTACTGTTGCAGGTTAAATAGACATGATTGCATAATCTTATTTTACCACTTTGACATGACACAGACTGTGGCTTTATTTTTCCATTGTATTCCATTTCTGTGCTGTCTTTCATTAAAGTCGAGCATAAATCCAATGTCACATTTCACTATCTGTGATATTTTTGGCATTGCGTATAAAAAGTTCTATATTTAAAAGGTATTACCTGGTTTTCTAAATAATGTGTTTGCCATTGTAACCATAAACGCCATCATTATGCATTTGAGAATGATCTTTTCTTAACACTGATCTTGATCTCTCCTCTTGATGTGTCTTTTCAGATGAGACTGTCAGAATTGAACTGGTACAGCTGATCCCTCCTGGTGAGGCTTCTTATTTTTTACATTGATATTTTGTGTCCTTTGTTCACTACAGGGTTGAAAAAGTGAAGTGCGTTGAATTGCAAATTATAATTTGAATAAACAGAACTCCAGGCAGACCACCTTTAGAAGTGTGTTTGTGTTTACAGCTGGGGACACTCTGGCCTGCTTTGAGGAAGATGCTCGACATTTCTTATTTCCAGAGCCCAGACTGGTTCCATCCTTCTCTGGAGTGGACAGAGAGGTTCTGATGTCCCGAGCGCCTCACTTTCCAGTAGGTCCTTCCCTGTGATACATTAAAACACACAATGTTGTCCATTTTCAGCATAAAGGTACTTTTGTTGTGTAGTTTTTTCACATGAATGCGTGCACTTGCAGTTCCCTTGACTCGGTTTCTTATTTTCTAGATATTATTCCATTTTCTGGAACACAGGTAGTGGCCACAGTAGCTGGGGCAACAAAAACAAAGTGATGACTGACTACAAGTGTGACCTTTGGACTGTTAGGTGATCATGGGACAAATATTTTCTCTTTTCATTTTCCCAGGGTATTGCTCCAAGGTTGGAGTTTTCCACTAAAACAAGTATCATTGAGTGTTCAGCCAATGCAGAGATCAACATTTACCGCAATGTACCAATGGTAAAGACTGTATTATGTGGCTCATATTTACAGATTATATATGTAACAATGATAAACCTTATGCAGCATTTGAATATAGAACACAAGAACAATACATATAATCATAAAATTGTACACAAAATCAAGGAAAAAAGAATAGTTTTTTTTGTTCTGTTTTTTGTTTACATTTTGTCAAGATGACATCTTTATAAATATACTTAATTAACTATTAGCAGGTCCTGTTTGCAGTATACCTATGGATGTACAGACAGTTATTGTCACTGTGATTCTAAAGAACTGATGACAATTCTCAAGTTCAGGATTGTTTTTTTCTGATTAATATGGACATTTATTTGCAATGAACATCTGACATAATGACATCCTTGTGTAAATGTCAGTGGTAGTGAATTCAAAGATATGTGTATCATGTGTGAGTTCAGATGTGAGTGAATTGTGACTCAGAGAAGAAGAGTGCAATTTTTAATGCAAACGATGGCACTTGGGTTGAGGTACTTTATTGCCTCCAAGAGCTTTGTGTCACATACATTGCTGCTGCAATTGCCAACCAAAGTTATTTAAATTTTCTATTCAAAATCTATAGGAAGCTGATGGAGTGACACTATGATATGGTGGGATATGGTCTTTTTGATTGTAGTAAAAGTCTGGCAGATGAAATCAGAGCCTGTTGGAGGCAAAAAGTTTGGTTTTGACTGACACTATACAGAACTGCAGTAATCAAGTAGAGAGGCATACATAACCTTTACTAAAATTACAGATGGACAAGAAGGATTTTATTTTGGAGATGGCTTTTAAATATACTAGGCATTATTCACCTACAATATAAATATAATATTTGAATAAACAGGCAACCCATCTGCTTGTATTTAGGGACTGATTTTGAGACATCCGCTCTTTTGTTTCCAGAGGCCAGTGATAAAGAGGAACAGGACCTCCTCTCCTCAGAGGAAACAACTTCAAACCATTGGAAGGAGACGACATGGCGGGATGGTCAGAGAAAGACACAGTAGCACCACGTCATTGTCACACATTGCCAGATCCCAGTCTCTGTCCCCGCTGAGCGCTGAAAACACACAGCGTCTGGCTCAGCTCAGCCTGGATTCTGCAGCTCCTGACACGGCAGACTGGGATGCAACCAGCACCTCCCAGCCAGTAAGCACACATAACATGTCTCTATTCTAAAACTGACAGTAGATTTTTCAGGATTGGCCATCATATCCATCCAGCAGGTGGCAGGGAAGAGCTATTGTGTGCTTACTGAGTGTATCCTTGAACCTGTGTTTTGTAATGTTTCACCAGTGACAAGAGTTTAGAGTAACTCTGGTGTCAAAGAATGACTCTAGTATTTGCCAAAAGCAAATAATTAACAGTAATAAAATGTGGTAGATAGAATGTGTTAAAAGAGGGTACACCGTAGTAATCTTAACATAAAAAAAACACACAAGTATCCATCCTATCTTTATTCAAACACACTAAGATGTAACATGTATATATACTGTATATATTTTTTATTTTTAGTGCACAAATGTCACTCAATACTTACATGCTGCATACTGAAGCAGATCTGTGCAATGACTGCATGTTGCAAGTGTCAACAACCATTCAAAACCCAAGTTTGTCTTATTTGATTGCAAATGTGTAAAGCTTAATATGAAGAGAAATCATAGGGGCCTTTTAGAGGGTCTCCTGAGTAAAACTCTAATGGCCTCTGTTCTTTCAGCTTCTTGCATCTTGCATATCCTACACAAGCATTGTTACACTGAACTTATTAATACATTTAGAAATACATCTTTTTGTTTATAGCACTTTTAAAAATTGTAATGTGTACATTTTTTCAGTTTCAGTGTGAAATATATTTTAAAGCAAACCCATCCAACTGTGGCCTCAAGTGGGAATTAGAGGATAATACCATTTTCAACGATTTCCTAAATTAAATTATTGTCATTAGAGAGTGAAATGAGAAAAAGAAGCCTGAAGCTAGATTGTTTACTTCTTGTGTTATTTTATTTTATACTTCCACTGAAATGTTTATCTAAAGATTGTTAAAATGTAGTGTAACAGTAGGAGCAGGAAAAGAGTTGTAAAGTCAGAAAACTGACTCAGTAATGTCATTGCCAAAGCAACATCACTCTATGGTTCACTAAAGTTGACATTATCCACTGACAGCAAAACCCCTGAGCGAACTGAATAGAGCAAGGATGTATTTTTCATGATTATAATTCAAAATTTTAATTTCATCTGTAATGGGAAGATTTTGTTATTTCTTCTTTTGAAACTTAACACAGTTTTACCTTAAACCTAAAGATCACAAGTTCTGTTTCTGTTGTAAAGCTCAATAACAATGTTCAATTCAATCAGTTCTCTCCTAGTATACTATTTACTATTTGATTGAGTCTCACCTTGGGAGATTATAGGATTTGGAGGGACTATACCACAATGTGGATAATAACATTAAAGTAGTGTAGAAGGAAAATACTGTTTGTGTTGCTCTGATCCACCAGCTGATTTCATACAATGGTGATTCCACCTTCCACCACCAATTCAGGAAAGCTTTTGCATCTACTGCTCTGAACTTATATTAATGGTCTCCTCTTTCGTTATGACAATAAAATGTTCCAGTCTTTTTGCTGAGACAGCTATAGCATCTATTGAAGTAATCATGTATGTATATATTCTGTAGCAGTTTGCTGTGAAGGTCTGATCACTGAGTCGTCATTCCTCTGTGTGTACTGTAGATGCTGGCTTCATGGCCTGGCACCCGTCGATCTGCCTTGCCCCACCACTCTGCACTGGTTACCAGCTACTCCTCACCTTTGACCAGGTCTTCATCCACAGGTATGTGTCATATGCACTATATGTCTGTTGTAATTTAAAGCTGCTTTATTGCTAAGAATCATAGTTTAATGACTCTAAAACCTACCATACCTACTTGTAAAATGTATTGTAATTATCATGCTGCTATGTTGACATGACCCAGTTTACTGTAACAAGCTGCTAGTTTGAGAATGAAATCTGCTCAAGCTAACTTAGTGAGCTTTTTTAGCACCAAAGAAATGTAACTTAAAAACATTTTCCCTCTTTTAACTGTTTTAGTGAGATTCTCTCCCTCTGGCAGAAGGAAATCTTTATCTAGTGGTTTGGTAAGAACAGCTTATTTTCCCTTCTTGGACAGAAAGTTATGAGACTGTAAAACTGTGTACTTAGCCTTGGAAAAACCTCTGTGCCCTAAACTGTTAATGGGCAAAATGAGATACAAGCACACACAACATTTGCATTTTTACTTTTATTTGAGAGCAGGAGCAGCTGTGGTTCAGGACTCAGGACGTAGAGCAGGTTGTTCCCTAATTGTAGGGTCAGCGTTTGGATCCCTGGTTAAACACTTTGAGTGTGCATCAGTGCACAGAAAACTGCTATATAAGTATAAGACCATTTACCAGGGGTAGAGATAATAAACTGTGCACATACATTACTTAATTTGTGCATAAAAACACATTAAACTAAACAAGTTCAAGAAACGAACTGTTAAACTAATTAAAACTTACCAGTTTTAGATCCAGGTTCTAAAATAAATCTATATAAACATCTGCAATCTAAAATTTTATAATCTATATATAATTCTATAATTGCCTATCTGAGCCACATGTAGGTTACTACTGAGAAATGTACTATTTTAAGCTTGCTTTTTTTTGTAATTCATTTATCATTGTGTGGAAAGTTGCTATGGCAGGGTGGTTTGGTGGTGTCTGGCCTCTGAGCTGAAAGCCATTCAGTGATATAGTATATGATACTTATAGAACTGGAATTCCTCAGATTCACCTCTTGAATGTGGTCATTGGCAAAGCTTTCAGTATTTGTTGTTTCATTTAGTAGGGACAGTGTAATTTAACATACTTCGGACACAGTTTTCTTTAGTTAACTACAGAAAAGTATTGTCCAAATTAGGCTAAGCTAACAAGTCAACTGCAAGCATTGCAAGAAGCTTTGGATATTACATGAGAAAGACTATGCTGGGGGGAATTTAGAGAATTTGCAGTTATGGATATAAAAATTAGACATCAAAGTATAGAAGCTGACAGTATATTCAAATGGTTTGTTATTGTGAAAAAAGTAATTACACATTTTAAAGCGAAGGTATAAGATTCCTGAGGATATGGTTTGCAAGTATCTGCCAAAAAGTTTGTAGTACATTACAATAAAAAAAAGATGAGTAATACATTCTTTATGTTGATTACAAAAGGATCAATGAGCTACAATGTCCATATATCTTGCGATCAGTGAATTGGTAGGATAAATATAGTGTAAAATTTTAAAATGGACTTATTTGACCTTATCTATGGCATATTTGTAGGAAATTAACAACACTTTTTTCTAATTAATATCATCAATGAGTGAAGCCCAGTAGAATTTACCATTTGCAACAATCTTATTTTGATTGTGATTACTTTCACTTATAAGTTATCCCGACTCTGGCTCCCAGTCTCACGCATTTGACTTGGTCACATCATGGTCAGGAGAGCTGGACACATTAGGCTCCTCTGTTAGCTAACGTTAAGTTAACTGATGTTAAATGTCAAAGTAAACAAAAGAAATAGTGTGATATTAGTGGAAGTTACATTATTCACGTGTCTCTCCCCTACTCTCCTACAGTTAAGGCTACACTAGTAGCATTTAGTTATTTAGTATATTATTTAATCATTATTATTTCCTTCACTTACCACCTTCTTTTCTTCCTCTTTTTGTTTCTTTGTTTTTTCACCCCCAGAGGGATAACTCCTCTTCATTTTCTTTGAGTGGCTTTCCTTGTTTGCATTAGACCCATTTGTTGTATTTGTAGTAGATTACATCCCTTAGGGATGTAAGCGGTACGTCATGTGCATGATTCTGTGTAAACAAATGGGTCTAATGTTAAAACTCAGCGTTCCCTAAACTGACAGATACAGAACATAATTATATATTAACACACTGGAATCATAAACAGTTACATAAAGTATCTGACACATACAGTCATGGTAAAAAGAAACACCCTTCAGTTCTATATTGTTATTTATCAGGGCCTAAAAACAGTTGTGTGGACCTCACCAACTTCTGTAAACAAACAAATAAGAAAACCCTCAGGTGACAAGAAAAATAGAGAGATCTGAATCTGTGTAGCTTCCAGGTATGGATGTGAACATGGTGTTCCTGAAAAAGAGGTGGCCTCTCAGTGGACCTACCCTGAATTTAAAAAAGTGTGGTTACTGTTTGCCAAAAATAAACCAACATTCAGAAACCAGGTAAGAAAGTAAATGTGCACCTTTCCTATTTCCACAATCATTACGAGAGTAATTAGCAGCCAGGAGTTACTATTCAAATGCACAGGATGATTAAACCACTAAGAAGTTTGACTATGTCTAGGAAAGCAGAACCTTTGGCAGTTTGGTGTCCTGGAGCACTGAGGTGTGTGTCTACATAATGCCAAGAAAAAAAAAAAGGACATCAGCTATGACTTCAGAGAAACAAGTATCACTGCTCATCACTCCTGGAAGGGTAATAATGCCATCTCCAAACTGAAATCTACCATTCTACAGTAAGAAAGATTGTTTACAGATGCAGAGCCGACAAGACAATCTTCACAAGAGTGGGTATCCCAGCAAATTCAGTCCAAGGTCTGATCATTTAATGGTCAGAGATATAAGGACAAACCCAATAGCTGCATCATATGACCTACATATAAGCACATGTTTATGTTCATGACACCACAATTTGCTTTCACAAAAAAAGGTTTCTAGGAACAATCCCATTTTCTTTAAAAACTTGGCAGCACAACTTAGGCAAAACTGCATTTGAACAAACTGCAGCTGTTCTGGAACAGTATCCTTTGGACTGATGAGGCCAAAATGTAGGTGTTTGGTCATCATGTGCAGCACCATGTTTGGCGAAAACAAAACACAACATATCATGACAAACAAGCTGGACTTGTTTTGCAGCCACAGGACCTGGGAAACTTTCAGTCATTGAGGCGACAATGAACTTCACTTTATACCAGAAAATTCTTGAGGCAAATGTGAGGCCATCTGTCCAGCAGCTTCAGCTGGGCCAAAATTGGGTCATGCAACAGGACAGTGATCCCACGGCAAACTAGCAAATTGACATCTGAATGGCTAAAGAAAAAAAAAATCAAGGTGTTGGAATGGCTGAGTCAAAGTCCAGACCTCAACCCCTCTGAGATGCTGTGGCAGGATGTTGAGAAAGCTGTGCATAAATGAATGCTGGTTGTAGGTTTTTTGCCACTTGAGGTTATTGTTTTTGTTTACAGATGCTGGTGAGGTTTTTTAGGCCCCGATAAAAAAGAGAATTGAAGGAGGGTGTACTTAGTTTTTACCATGGCCGTACATGATTTTTTCATCCAAAGCCATCAGTCTGCACCTCTGTTAGCTGTCACCAAGCTGAAACTAAGCTGAATGCACATCAAAGTGACAGCGAGAGTTTGATTATAAAACCTGACAAATGTCAGGAATATTAAATAAACTGCTATATACATGAAGTAGCAGTCTTACCTTAATATGGGCCTTTTAATTACTGCAGTTTCTGTGCAAAACCATCTGCTGCCTAAAATCCTGGGCTTTGACCAAATCACTGTACTGTTTGCTAACTCTGCACTCAAAGAGGCCAATTTCCTTCTTGGGGTAATAAACCTTTTTGACCAATTATGTTTTGGATTTTTAAGTACGAAGGATCTTCTGTTGTTATAAATTTTTTAACTTCACTTTTGGAAAGAAAGCTGCTGAACAAATTTCCCAACATGATCTATTCTTTAAAGGCACAATCTGGGACCTACACTACAAGTAGAAAAACATTAAAACCCAGGATTGAGACTTGTGACTCCCAGATTAATTCTAAATCTAAGTACAATTTTTTTCTGGTGAAAGACTGCATTAGTCTTGTTTAAATTTTGATCAGTTGAAAAACCATATTTGTTTGTCAGAATTTCCATCTGTAATTATGTGAAAATAGATCAGAAATGTACTATATGTCATAAAATCACAGATTAAGACTTTAATAATTTCACAGAGAGTACAATTAACCATTGTCAAAGGTGCAGATGCATTAATGAAGAAGACACTGCCGGCTTATTTTTGTTTTTATTGGTAGATTGGAGGAATATCGGACGACTCCAGCTCTTCAGAAACAAATGACTGCCATAATGGTCCTGAGCCTTCAGCGCTGTGGCGGTCTTACAGAGAACAAGCCAGGCACAGCAGGTCTATTTCTTAACAGGTTCTAAACATTGCCTTTCATGGTATAATCATGCACTTGACAGGGTTCTTGTGTTATCCAGCTATCTATTGAGACCTAATCACTAAGTCAGGAGGTATTTGCTCAATTTAACCAAATTAAATAAGGTCTGTATGGTAACTAGGGTCATGTTATATTGGAAAGGCTAATTACAAATTGAAGAAAATATAATCAAACAGTCATTGTATTAACTAGGATAAACATATGATGGACTGAGAGTGTCTCTGTAATGGATGCACAGAAATGTGATTTGTGTTAGTTCTCATCTGATTTGAACTGTAAATATGCTTCTAGAGATGACACTAGAATGTTCATTTTTTAACAGTCTAAAAATGTCACTCGACTGCAAATTTCCTGACTGTGACTGCTCACGTCTCTCTCCAGTTCTCACAGAGAATGGGAAGAAGTCCATGAACGTGTCCGAGGACTCCTTACTACGCCAAAAGCTGTGCGCCGACTTGTCTATGTAAGTCACAAAAACCATTAGATATAGCATTAGATATTTTAATATAGTAAATTGTCTCATCTGCTTCTGTCATAATTTGCTGGTGAAGCCATTTCAACAATTCCTCCAAGTTTACCTATTTTCATGGTAATTTCAATATAAGGTATATTTCTACAGCACAAATTCCCTCAGAATCAGCTGCTTTTAGTTTATCTTCTCAAAAGAAATAGTTTTTATTTTTATTCACTAATGATTCCTTGTTGCTCCAATTTTGCAGTGTTTTTCAGTGTCTGTTTACTGCACAGATACGATGGAGACTTATCATTAAGGGTTTTGTATGTTAGGAGAAGGATTTTAAATTCTATTCTGAATTTTACAGGAAGCCAGTGGAGAAAAGCTAATATGGGAGAGATATGATCTCTCTTGCCAGTTCCTGTCAGTACTCTGGCTGCAGCATTTTGGATTAACTGGAGGCTTTTTAGGGAATTATTGGGACATCCTGATAGTAAAGAGTTACAGTAGTCCAGCCTGGAAGTAACAAATGCATGGACCAGTTTTTCAGCATCACTTTAAGACAGGATGTTCCTGATTTTCGCGATATGGTGCAGGTGAAAGAAAGCACTTCTAGAGACTTGGTTTATGTGTGATTTAAAGGACATATTCTGATCAAAGATGACTCCAAGGTTTCTCACAGCAGGACTGGAGGCCAGAGTTACAGTATGTCATCTAGAGTATATAGTTAGATAGCATATTTCTAAGGTTTTCAGACCCTAGTACAATAATTTAAAGACAGAAATGTTTCCATACACTTCCAATTTTAAAAATTAGCAGGAACTGTTGTTTCAGTGACAGTAAGTTAACACTGCTCAAAAAAGACATGTCAATGGTATTAATTAATGAATGTAACTTGGACACTGCATCTTTGCATAAACTGGCTCCAGGAATGAAGGCAACATGGGTGATTGTTAATAATAATGTAAGACGACAGGGATTTTCACTTACACACACTGTTGTTGTGTTTCAGGGGGCCACGGTCTCTGAGATAGACAGTGTTTTTTCCAGAAGGTCCATCTCTCCAGGGCCACCATGAAGTCCTGGCCAGGCTCTGGAAAGGTAAAGTGGACTTTGTACATTTCATTGTCCACATTAAAAAAGCTGCTCTGGTGACCTACCGTTTAAGATACCTACCATGTACGGTAATCATAATGCTTGATTTTGTTTGGGTACCTTTGTTGTCAAACCACCCTCTTTCCATGTTTCCTGCCTATGTGTCAGGGTTTTGCATGGGTCCAGTTTTGCAAACCCATACCCGCCCCGCACTTGCAAATCACCTTATTGGGCCTGACACATTACCCGCAATTATCTCTATAATAATAAACAATAATAATTCTGGACCCGACCTGTTAACATAAGACCTGCAACCCAACCCATACCCATAATTAAAATAGACTTTAGGCTACTGCACACACAAAAATATATCAGTTATTTAGTCTTGATAAAATTGTGCTGAGTTAAATGTTTAAAAAAGTTGTCTTTTTTAAATTTATTTTAATTATGTTTATTTCACCTGCTCCCCATATGTATTTAGTGTATTTTTTACCCATGCCTATACCCCTGAATTACTATAAGCATACACTGCCTGGCCACTTTAATAGGTAAACCTGTACAATTGTGTAAACTTCAGTGCAACACTTCCCCTTTAATATCTGTATTTATGAAACTCAAAATGTTTCAGGTTTTGGTGAAATTGTCATAAATGTATAAATTCAATTATATGTTTATTATTGAGGTCATAGTTAAAGGTGGTACTGTACTGGACTACATTATATTTAGAGGTGTCTCTATATTTTTGTCCTCCCCAGCTACATACATGAGAAGGTCAGAACATCAGTAACACCTCTGAATATAATATGCAAAGATATATTAATCTGTTTTTGGTTTCTAGAGAACAGTAACTATACTTTAAAACAAATTCTCAACCAGTTCACTCATTACCCCTCCTGTCTTGCACAGTCTTTGCACAGCACCATATCAGTGAAATTAACTGCATATTGTGTTGTTTTTGTTTGTGTGTGATGTCAGACAGGGAAAGGGACCATTGCCTTCCCGATGATGCCTTCAGATATCAAGAGTTTCCTAATGTGTGATGTGTGCAAAACAGAGAGGTATTTCATTACAGTGGATCGATATATGTCCACACAACCTGTAATAAGGGCTGGCAAGTAATGTGCTTCATGTTGACATAAATGTTTTAATGTTGAAACAACATTTTAATATTAATATCATTGTTAAATCTCAGTTTGAACACAGAATGGAAGCAGTAGTATGGTTTGACATCAAAAGTCTCTGTTGTTCCATCTCATTAATCTATCAAGCTAACATTGTCGAGTCCTGAGGTAAATCACCTGAAGGCTATTAAAAGAAAATTGTGTCTATGGCAATGGAGCTCCCTTGCCATATATCATACAAATAGCTGCTCACTGTGACTGTGAGGCATTAAACATCACCTGTATCAGGAACATTGTGATCTATTGCAAAATGGCTGCCGAAACAGAACTCTATTTTGGTGTAACAAGCAGGCCTTGGTAGGATTTATTAATGGCTTGCTTGGTCAGTTGTAACAAGTCCTTAAATAATTCTATAAATAATATTTTGGAACTAGAAAGGGCTGCTCTACTTCTCTGCAAAGACAGTGAAGGTGGTAGGCTGAACCTGCGCCTCCTTGCCGGATGAGAAAGACTACACAGAACAATGACCATAATGTAGGTGACTGTAATCTTATTAGGTGGGTTCCCATTCATAGGTAGAAAGAATTTTAATCAAATTTTGAGAAAAATTCTTTTTTACTTGTAAGACTAAAACATGTTTGAAACATCTTACTTTTAGGACTTTATTGTGGATTACATTTGAGGAAGGGTAATAAAATGCATAAACCACTTGTTAAAAAATCTAGGTATGGAGGTATACATACAGCTGTGGACTGTATACATACACCAACAGTCAGTTTCAATGCAGACAAAGTAGAAAAGCGCACACCCCTGTTGTATGTTTTTTAAGTGGACTGGACATCAGCCTGATATTTGCAGATAGCTAGCAAGTGTTAGCTGTGTTATTTTTTGACTAAAAATAAATAACCTTGTAACTTTATTTTCACAATGTAAACGTGTTATACATTATGCAAAAACACTAATTAAAAGAAAAAAAGAAAGAAATTTGCTTTATCACCCCTAACTTAAAGTCTCATTGGTATAATGCATTGTACAGCTACATACAGGCAAAAGCTGCTGACATGGCGCACGTGAAGGCGGGGAAAAAAATCAGTCATCCTAATTGCTGTGAAATATACAAGGGATTAAGTTTACTGTAAAATCAGGTCTACTGTATATAGGGATGCAGCAATTCTAATACCTCAAGTATCTGCCAATAGTAATGATCAAGTAGAGAATGTGAGGGTACGTCATGCTGTGTTGAATGTTGGGATGAGGGCACCATTTTGGGAAGGAGGCGCTCTATTCACCTGCATACATTGTTGTTTTCCTTGGCTAAAAAGTTGCTTAAGTTATTTTGAGCTCACTTTACTGATTTTGGTAATTCAGAATGGATAACCTTAGCTGACTGTAGCTAACTCGTAACTGACTTAGAGATCCCATCGACGAGAGCAACAGACTGAAAAATGACTCTTCCGCGCAGCTCTAGGTTGAGGAGCTAACCCTGGCTAGCCATTGTTGGCAGATAACATAAACACTGCAGATGAATCACATTCTGTCTTGTCTGTGCTCGAACTGATCACTAAAGTGGATGTTTGGATGTAGATCAAGTATCCACTGTTGTATGTAGCTGTATGGGATAGTATAAAGTTTTTTAATATTAATATATAGATGTATGTAATGTATATATCTATGATGGATAATGTGCATGATCTCCCCAAAATGGCACATTTACCCAAAATTCAACATGGTGTGATGACAATTTCACATTTTCTATACCAGTAGTCCCTTTTTCCCAATAACACATTTTGTAGAATGTATTTGGATAGCTTTTCTGTCAGGTAACATGAGGCCAGAAAGTGCTGCGATACTAAAACTTGAGTCAATGGCCCACCATGACTTAATGTAAGTGATGTTGGCCAAGAGCTAGGGGATTTCTTATGTCATGACCATTATCCAATATACTTAACAGGGGCAGTATCAAAGCCACTACTAATCCAGAATATCAGATGTCTGTATTCCTACTAACATTTCTAAGTTGTCTAACCAGGAAGTTGCCTTCAAATTGCAACCAAAATTGTAAATACCAAGGTATAGTAGGCTTCATTAATACCAAATTCCACGATAATCCCACTTATTATTTTAATTTAATGGATTTAAAGAAAATGAGTGTCACCTGCTTTGCAATCTCAATTACCCTTATCATGGTGACTATAAATGATAACAAAATCTGACAATAAAATGAGCAACTTTCTTTTATTAGCTTGCAGTTACACATAATGTTGTTCATGTTGATTCACATACTGTACAGTAGGTACTCAAATAGTTCCGTGAGAGGAGATTGGTTAATGCCACAACAGTGTGCTTCTGAAATGTACAAGACAACCTGGTTTGCGAGGACTTATCTGTATGTCACCTCTGAAACAAACAAACACCTTTGTTCACCCATGTCTCATTTCAAATGTGGCCCTTGTGGCAGTGTAGGGATGTCTAAACTTGAGATACTGAGATGAGGACTATATTCCAGACACAGTGGATTTTTGAAATTTTGACCTCTGACAAAATAACAGAATGGGCCTTCAACTTGTAAGCCTAAATAAGACAGAAGAACAGAAGATTTATCTCCAAGGATGTAGTCAAATCACTTTAAAACTGACAGCACGCTGTAAACACCATTACTTTACTGAACATTGTTATTCTCAAAAGAGACAGTTTTCAACACTCCATGACCATGAATCTATGAAAACATCTGAATGATATTTGGTTAAGGCTAAAGCTGACAGGTAACATTTGGACATTTGAGTAACTAAATTATCTACGCTAGGTAGCTGTTAACATTGCATTGTATTGACACATTAGCTGTTGCTTTGGGAGCATTATTTTACAACAAGCTAAAAAAAATGCCTTTTTTTTCAGGTGTTTTTTTTTTTTCAAGCTGGATCACAGAAATTTGAATGTCATGCTTGCAGTTGCTTATTTTCTGCACCAGCCTAGCTCCTAGCATCATTGGGTATTGATACATTAGTTTCTGTTTTGGGAGCTGTACTGTATACAAACCAAAGAAAATGTCACTAGTGTTATTATGGACTTTTCCCTAGCTGGACTACTAAAAGCGTAACTAGTGGAGAATTACTGACTTCCAGTTTTGAATGGAACACATTGTACACTATGATATTGTGCTGTAATCTACTCTGGCAGTTTCATTTCTACCCCAATCTAAGCAAATAACTCTCAAATAGAAGTCTATATTTGTCTTGCAAAGTATGACAGGCTCATGTGCAGTGTCATTTTGAGGACATTGAGTCTGCTGTTCTGGAATACTTTTGTTAGCATTTCATGAATAACATGAATGGCACTCAGTTGTGTTGCAAGAGATACTGCATTTTCTGCCAGGAGAGTGGGAAGGTATTTGGCTCGGGGGCCATTTTATTTCCATGTAGAAACAACAATATTATCTTGCTGGGAACAGTGGTCATGGGACCAACACATGGGAAGACTGCCTGAAATTTTCTAACATATTGTATATGACTAGCATAGAAAATCCTCATTGATACTACTGTTGGTCCCAAGTAATGTCCACCATTTAAGCAACTTTTACCCACTGATTCCAAGCTAAAGTACTATATGTGCAGGCATCAAAATATGCAGCTGCTGCATGGAGTCAAATGCACTGCTGTGTTACAGAAATGGTCGTACTGTACATATGTGTATATAAAAGAGCATAAGACTGCAGTTATGCTGTGAGCATTACAAATAGCAATGCAGCCAGGGAGCATTTTACATAAGTGTAGACATTTGCAGCATTTGAAGCATTAACTATTGTTTAAGGAAAGGAAGGCCTGTTGACCAGTCTGTCTATTCAACACTTTTGTCCAGAGCAACAGTATTTCACAAACTACTGGCCAGTTTATTGCCACCATTAGGCCCACCTTAAGAGCTATTAAAATTTAATGAAAACATTATTTCCCAAATAAATTTTCTTTTGTTTCTTTTGTCTCCTGGAAATTGCTTCATGTTTCCTCGTGTACCATCCTCAGGCCAATATGTCAGTTTTGGAGCTGAGGGCAGCAACGAACAGTTATTTTTATAATGATCATTATATCATTATAATGATTGGCCCGAGCCAATCATTAATGAAGTTATCTCAAATCATTTATTGATGAATTGTTTAGCCTATAAAATTACTAAAAATAGTTGCCAAACACAAATTCCCAAAGCCCAAATTAACATCTTCAGATTGCTTGTTTTAATCAACCAATGGTCTGAAAACCCAAATATGTTCATTTTACAATCACCTGAAATGGAGAAAAGCAGCAAATGCATATATTCCAGAAGCTTTTGCCATTTTACCTTGACAAGTGACTATGTTTCTAATGATCAGTGACTATGTTTCTAATTGGTAAATTGTGCTGGTACAAGAGCACATTATTGCTCCCAAGATGATAAGTCCTTTTATTTTAATGATCCATGGCTTTTCATGTAGTGCTTCTCTTTAGGAAACCAATTGTTTTAGGTGGAATTTATACTCTATCTGAGCTGCATGTCAGTCAGATAACCTCCAAACCATAAACCTGCCCTTTGTCCTGCCACTGATATGATGATAAGAAAGAATATCCAAACCATGCTTATTAGTATTGTGGGAACACTGCAGTCTAAAGATCAGTAATATATTTTAGACTTATAGCCCTGTTTCTATAGCCTTTTTCCGTGCTGTGCTGTGGCAGTGTTAGCCATTCATAGCCCAACATGATACACAACTGCCTGCACCCACATTTAGACAGTCAGAAGCTAACTTAGCATGTAGGCTGGAAGTACACAAAACATGCAGTAGCATCAAAAAGCAGATACAAAGAAGTTCTGAACAAAAACAAAGTAATTTATAGGCTTACTTGTTAGCTATTACAAAGGTTCTCTGAGAATTTCTCATTTTCCCATGGCAACATTTGTAAATATGAAAAATGCTTCTTTTGCTAAAGAAACCCTAAAGCCCTTATGCTAACTAACTAGTTGCAGCAGCAATAAGAATACGACATATGTAAATTAATTACTTCAGAGTTAGTATCCTGTTATTGTGGGCACAAAAGGGAATGATGAAATGCAATCCAAACATGCTAAATCAAATTATCGCTACAAGTGTCTCATTGTTATGGAATTGCTATTCAGTATGTTTACAAACAGGATGTTGTCAAAGACTGGGTGATTTTGAGGTGTTATACTGTAAATGGCATAACTGTTCTGAATTTTCCATTCCTGAATTTGCTTTGTAATGCAGTTATTGCCACAGGAAATAAAACTATCAAAGAAAAAGCTGCCATAGCTAATAGACAGAGTGCTGTACTTTTGTATTATTGTGCATCAGAAACTTTATTTAGCTCCTTATTTTAAAGGAATACATTCTGGGAAAAATGCTTATTTACTTTTTTGCCACCAGTTAGATGAGAAGATTGATTCAGTACAGAGCAGTCAGGAATTGACTAGCTCAGTTTAGCTTAAAGACTGAAAATTGTTCTAAAGCACACCTACGGTATAAAGCCACAGTGTAGCTGAAAGCTTGCTATTTAAGTGTTGTCTTGTTTTTTTTTTTATCTGTCTGCAGAAAGGTATAAATCCAATTTGTTTTTATAACCTTAGAGCTTTTAAGATATGGTTTTTAATGTAAGCCAGAGAAAGGCTCACTGTTTCTCTTTTTTTTGGCTGGCTGGTTTTTATGCTAACCATAAGCTAACTGCCTTTGGCAATTAATGCACATACATGAGATTGCCATTGATTGTCTCATGTCAGTCTTGGCAAAAAAGCATGAACTGTAGTTCCCAAAATGTCTGACGGAATGCATGTGCCCAAATAAGTCTTGTGTTTTCTTTCAACAAAAATGTTTATCACCAGCTAAAAAGATAAAAACTTTCCAGGTCTCTGATTCGTACAGTTACTGAGCTGAGCTACCACTGTTTTAAGACTATTTTCAACATATATTGACTCTACAGCATAATGAAAATAGTCTAGTGAAAAATTGAAAAAGCACTTAGAGACGGTGATTATTAACATAAATACATTAGCTGACCATTAAAATGGTCTGGTTTGAGACGGTAGAATTAGGGGTATCTGATATACTGTATGCTTTCCCCCTGCTACCTAAAAACACAGACTATATATGATTATTATACTTTGCATTGCGTCAATAACTGTTAGCTATTTGGTTCTGAAATTTCACAGTGTTCATTTGCTTCCATAAGCCTTTGTTTACTGTGTTCATTATCTATGAAGTCTCTAAAAAAATCAGTGTGCAGTTAGCGATCAGCATTTCTTTAACATATTGCTTCATGCAACTTGGTGTGAAAAACATTTTTAAATGTACAGATAGATATACAAGCAATGGCACATAGACAGTGAACAACAGCCACACAAAAAGATCATTCAGACAATTTAGAGAACTACACCACCGAATCAGAAAAGGTTGGGACAGTATATAAAAACAAAATTAAAACAAAAAAAAGTGATTTGTGAAACATCTGTGTCCTGTATTACACTGAAAACAATACAGCAGTGCATTATTTGATATGACACCTCATCAACTTTATTCTTTGTTCAAAATAAACACTCACTTCAATTCTGATTTCTGCAGCACATTCCAAAAAAAGTTGGGACAGTAAAGCATTTACGATGGTGTGATGTTGTCATTCCTTCTCACAACACCTAAAAGACATTTAGGGACTGAGGACACTAAGTGATTTTAAGTGTGTCAGGTGCAGATTTATCTCATTCTTCCTGCAAACAAGTCTTAAGGTGCAACAGTCCTGGGTCTTCGTTGATGCAGTTTGCCTTGCAAAATGCACCACACATTCTCTACTGAGGACAGGTCAGGACTGCAGGCAGGCCAGTCCAGCACTCACACCCTTTTCCTCCACAGACATACCTTGGTAATGTGCAGTATGAGGTTTTGCATTGTCTTGTTGAAATATGCATGAATATCCTTGGACAAGATGTCATCGTGAAGGCAGCATATGTTGCTCCAATATCTCGGTGTATGTTTCAGCATTAATGGAGCCATCACAGCGGAAGTTACCTTTGCCAAGGGCACTGACACAACCCTAGACCATGGCAGACCCTGGCTTTTGGACTTGTTGCTGGGAACAGTCTGGATGGTCCATCCATTCCTTCCAAAAAAGACCTGAAACACTGATTCGCCTGACCACAGTACACGTTCCCACTGTGTAATGGTCCATCCCAGATGCCTCGGAGCTCAGAGCAGTCAACTGAGCTTCTGGACACTGGTGACATAGGGCTTCCTTTTGGCACAGTACAGTTTTAAGCAGCATTTATGGATGTAACTACATATTGTAGTGCCTGACACAGGTGTGCCAAAGTAATCTTGAGCCCATGTGATTATATTGCTTATAGAAGAGTGATGATTCTTGATGCGGTGCCGTCTGAGGAATCGGAGAGCACGGTCATCCAGCTTAGACTTGTGCCCTTTACGCACTGAAACCCCTCCAAATTCCTTGAATCTTTCAATGATGTTCTGCATCGTATAGGGTGACACATCCATATCATTTCCTACCTTTCTTTGAAGATCATTGTTTTTAAACATTTCAATCATTTTCTCCTGCACATGTTGGCAAACTGGAGATCCTCTTTGTGCAGAAAGGCCTTTCCTTGATGCAATTTTGTACCAAACTATGATGCAGTCACCTGTTGACATCGCCTGGTTCAAATGGAATCATCATTTCATTGTTTTACCTAATTACTAGTCCTGAAATGCAACTGTTCCAACCCTGTTTGGAATGTGTTGCATGGATCAGAATTGAAGTGAGTGTTTATTTTGAACAAAGAATAAAGTTGATGAGGTATCACATTAAATAATGTTGTATTGTTTTCAATGTAATACAGGACACAGATGATTTGCACCTCACTATTATCAGTTTTAATTTTGATTTTACATACCATCCCAACGTTTTCTGATTTGAGGTTGACTAATCAAGGAGGAAATAAAGTATACTGAAGTGAGACTATTACAGATTATCATTTTCCTACCAGTGCTAAATGGACATATTTTTGCAAACTACAGATACATCCAAAAAGAGTGTCCTCATGCACACATACACACACAAACACCTCTTCTTTTCAGTCACAATAATATTCAGCTGACCTTTCTGTATCTTGGCACAATTTGAGAGTAAGAAGGAAGCACTTTAATCTAGTCAAGGTTGAAAATGTCTGACATGATGGGCGATCATCTTGGATAAGCTTAATGGAAGCTGCTGTTACTGATGTCTTGGATGGGTCTTGGATAGTTTTCCTCTTGCTTCATGGTGCTCATACATGATACAAAGTCTTCTGCTTTAGATCCATAGCAGCATGGCACTTTCTCTACTCCTTTGAGCCACGCTAAGGCTAAAACTGGGAGGTTTCAGTGAAGGAGATTGCATCCGTCTTGTCGACAGTGAAGCCTCCATTCACATAGGATTTTTTCTCACACTCTTCGTCATCCAAAGTAGCTTCAAGAGCAAAGGGATTGGCAACGTCTACATCCGACATCAGATCCATCCTCTCCAGTTCCTTCTTTGATAGTTTCTGAACGATACCAGCTCCGTAAGCATCGCCAAGCACGTTGATCATAGTACGGAATCGATCCCTGAAACACACCACTCAAAATAAATCCACAGCTTCTGTCTTATGTTAGAATGTCAATTTTTCAGTAGGAAATGTAGGAAAATAGTCAACATAGAAACATATAAACAGCAGATAAACTTACAGGAGCCAATCCACAGCCACTATCAGAGTGACATCACTTGCAGGTAATCCTACAGCTGTTAAGACTATCACCATGGTGACAAGCCCAGCATTAGGGACTCCTGCTGCCCCAACACTGGCAACTGTAGCTGTTATACTGAAACAGAGACACAGTGTCACAAATATTCCTGTGACAACTATGCAGGAATGAAATGTTTAGGCTACATCAGAGAATATCACACATTTATGGTGCCAACAAGAAGTGTGAAGTACAGGAGGACATGAAACTGCAGGGCAACAAGAGTTATCTAAATCTGAATTTACTAAACTGACAAATGAAATGACAAGTGAATTTAAAAGTTCAGTGCTAAAGATATACCATATTAAGCACAAATATACCTAAACAACTTGGAAATGCCCACACTTCACACACTACAATCTTGTTAAACACTCTATATCCTTTTGTAATGTCATGTAACTGTTGTCGTGTCTCCCATGTTCAGTACTGTTTTGTTAATGTGTTACTTTGTTTAAATTAAAAAAAAAAAAAAAAATATATATATATATATATATATATACAGTATACACTATTGGTACATGCTGTAATGAAGAAAAGATGAATGAAATAAATTGTAAAGTGTCCATAGCTCATTGGTGAATTTCCTAGATCTAAAGCAAATCATTATTTTACAAGGTATTGATTGATTAGTAATTTTGTTGTTCTGTGTTTAGGTAGTTACTGGTTTAAATCACAATTTAAATAATTTAATTTATATCAACAGTTCTTTTATGGAGATGATTAAAATTTGAGAATGGGCATATTTTCTTTTATTCAATGCAAGAATTTTATGGAACAATCTGGTTTTATTTCTTAAAGAAAGGTATCGCAAAAAGCGTTATTTTGGTAGTGGTACACTCGGATTCTTATTAGCTCTGGTATTAGAACATTTTCAGCAAAACCCATCCCTACATGGAGAGTTGTATGTTTGGTTAAATATGCAGTCAATAATGGTCCATGTGACACTTATCAGTTCAGTTTTCTATTTGGTAAATGATAAATAGAAAATTGGAAAAGTGAATTTATCCATCCATCCATCCATTTTCCTCCGCTTATCCGGGACCGGGTCGCGGGGGCAGCAGTCTAAGCAAAGATGCCCAGACTTCCCTCTCTCCAGACACTTCCTCCAGCTCCTCCGGGGGAATGCCGGAGTCCAAAGCTCTGACAAATGGTACACCACGAGGGATTTACTGGCTGCAATGCCAAATAATAGACACACTTTCTTCTGATTCTATTACATGTTGCACCTCTTTACATTTAGATAACTACAAATATCAGACTTCACTTTTAGTTGGAGGTTTGTAAAAAAAA